ACTCACCCCTGAGCAGCCTGCATCCCCATCCCCACTCACCCCTGAGCAGCCTGCATCCCCATCCCAACTCACCCGTGAGCAGCCTGCATCCCCATCCCAGCTCATCCCTGAGCAGCCTGCAGTCCCATCCCAACTCACCCCTGAGCAGCCTGCAGTCCCATCCCCACTCACCCCTGAGCAGCCTGCAGTCCCATCCCAACTCACCTGTGAGCAACCTGCATCCCCATCCCCAACTCACCTGTGAGCAGCCTGCGTCCTTCAGGTGGACCATTTCCATGTTCTTTCTGTAAGCAAGCAGCACCCTTCCCCTTCCCCTTCCCCTCACTTTTTTCAGTGGAAAGTTAGTTTTTTTGGGAGTTATATGCAAACACACACGTACACACAGAGGAATGGAATAAACAAGCGGTGAGAAGGAAACAAGTATCACTTTCTGTCACAAATAAGCACACTCCTCAGCTGCTAAGGAACCACCACAACCTCTGCCGAAATGGCGCCACTGCACTCCAGCCTGTGCTGCAGAGCAAGACTCCATCCAATAATAACAATAATGTTAATGAGAAGCTGGGCACAATGGCGTACATTGCAGTCCCAGCTACTCCCAGGTCTGAGGTAGGGAGATCACTTGAGGCCAGGGTTTGGAGGCTGTAGTGTGCTGTGATCACACCTGGGAAAAGCCACTGCTGGTCCTGCCTGGGAAACAAAGCAAGACCCTGTATATTGAAAAAAAAAAAAGGATTAGTGTGTTCCCTTATCAGAATATGCAAGCCCATTTGTCTTTGTGCAAAGAGGATACTCCAGAATTTGCCTCAAGTTCTAGTCACGAGCATCCTCTTGTGAACTGAGGTCTCAGGATAAGTTGCTTCCCCAGTCGCTCAGGCCGCTCAGGCAAGCTCCTTTGCACTGCCCTCTGCTGGCTCCACCGCAGCGAGTTTAAGTAAAACTTAAAGCCTTGGATTAGGTCAGGGCTTCTCAAACTCCAACTTGCCAGTGAATCTCCTGGGGATCTTGTGAAAATGCAGACTCTGAATCAGTAGGTCTGGGGTGGGAACCAGCTTGTCTCAGCAGCCAGCATGAGGTTACATGTGGAAGGTACACAAGGCCAGGAGCTCCTGTGGACTAAGAGAATGTAACCCTCATATCTGGCTTTGCACAAACCAACAGCTTGGATTGGGCCCTTGTGTTGGGAGCAGGTAGGGGCACAGAAAAATAGACCTGGCAGCTCAGATCAATGAGTTCATTCATTTACTACCTATATTTACCAAGTGTCTACCTATGCTAGGGGTCTCATGCTGGAAGCTGCTTATTGAGAAGGAACACTGACTGAGTCCGTGTACGTCCCAGCTCTGTGCTGAGCTCGTTACCTGAATGGCTTTCTTTAAGGAACAGGGCTGCGGGGTGTTGGGGGTGGAAGTGTTTCTGAAAGCCTTCACTGAGGATTTGGACTTTAAATGGTTTCTCTGGCCAGGATAATTTTACACAACTCTTGGTATGATCAAAGCAGCCTTAGAAAGCTTCCATCTCTCACTGTCACTTCTTGTCCAGGAATAAAAGGATCAGCCTCCTCCACAGTGCTCTTGGGCTATGTTCAAGTGCGTTTGTGAAGGTGGCAGCCCCTGCACCTGACGAGTGTGCTCTTTCTTCCCCACAATTCTTTCCACTCCTCCTCCCCCATCTCTAACCTCCTTAGAAGACTGCATGATGGGGCAGAGGATGGATTTAGCTCAGCGCCACCTGCACCAGCTGGCACATGCTAACCACAGGCTCTATTCTCTTTCACCAGCTGCTCTGCCCAGCCCTTTGTTCCAGTTGGGCAAGTCAGAGCCCACTCCTTTTGCCCAGTCCCCTCCCCCAACTCCAGCCTATCTGTCTTTCCTCTTCTCTCTTCCATCACCTTCTACAAATTTTTGTCACCATTATGTTCTATTCCCATCATCTTTCCATCTCTCATTGTTCCATTTCTCTGTCCCACCCCATCCTGCCGATACATTTTTTTCATTACTCCCACTTTTCACTCGGACCTCACCATGCCAATTCTGCCTCTGATGTTCCAGCTGCCCGTGAAGGTCTGCACATTCCCTGACAGGCAGTGGCTTGGTTTGTTTCCTTCTTCCTTTACTGACATAGGAAGCATAGTCCCCTCAACGAGTGCCTCCCATCCCCATGACTAACTTGGACAGGGACTCACTAAGGAGCTGAAAACGCAGCAAACACATTGGTTGGTACTCTCAACAGATATTTGCAATAGGATTCCCAAAGGCACTTTCCCTAATGCCTCATATTTAGAAGTAGGACAAAAAGACTTCACATTCTAGGAAGCTGCAAATAAATTGGGGGCAGCACCACCTCTAGGGAGTAGGGAGGGTGTGACCGAACTAGTTTTAATACCCCGGTGCTCTTTACCTCTACTTTACATAAGCAGAGGTCTAAGGAGAGAAGAGAGAAAGAAGATGATCAGGATCAAAAGTGTTGGAATTTGGGGAGACCTGCAGCTTTCCCCTTCCCTCCCTGTGGGTAAGGTTCCCCACCCATAGTGCCACATGAAAGAGACCTCCAAGAGTACCACGTAAGAGGTTCAAGGTATGCAAAAGAAAGGGAGACTGATGTCTCATTTCTCGGTTGGGTAGTGGATCTGTTGATTTTCTTCATGACAGAAGCACGACATTGCAGCAAGATCGGGAGCAGCCTGCACACCCTCTGTTTGGCACAGCAAGGATGCAGTAGTTTGGACTTTGCAGGCATAGTTAAGCTTCAGTTGTCTTGCCATTCTAGCCACCAGGTAAGCAGATCCCAGTGGCAAGAAGTTTTATTGATGCATCATTGGTGGGAGCTGAGTGGGAGGAGGGCCGGAAGAGGCCAAGCCAGAGGTCTCCCACATGAGCACACTTTTCAGTGGAGAGTCCCCACCCCACCCTGACAGCCTTTGCACCTGTGCTCTACA